TATGTGTGCATTACAAAGTGCATCTGCATAATGCGCAACCTAAAGAGGAAGCTGTAAATCGGCTGACACCGGAAAAATGGAAGCAACAAGAAATATTACAGCCGTTCATTTGCTATTTTTAGTCAAACAGACAGACAGACAGACAGACAAACAACAGACAGATAAGAATATGAAACATGTTATTGACATAATGTTAGTTGGCAGCAACATCAAATACAGTAACTACGTGCTGGTAAAAATAGATTTCGCCTTTCTGGATAGACAAGTAAACTAATAGTATTGCATCTTGTCCCCCTTCTCGCGGGTATTACACTCGAGCATTCGAGTACAGTGCACAATATACGCCCTGGCAACAAAGCCAAAAATTAAAATAAATACACATTTAGAGTGGTCGAGGTGTGGTCATATTTTAGTGTAATTTAAGCCAGTATTTATCTTAGTCATCATAATATTGCACCACTGCCGACACCAATGATATCCGCACCGCCTGCAAGCGAAAAAAGCAACAGCAGCACTGGAGAGTGTTTATGAAAACAGCTGAAAAATCGCTTGAGAAACTATGATTTCTACACCAAATGTTTTTAATTTTAATTTAGGAAAAATTATGTGTACGGGGGTTGTATCAAAAGTTTAGAAAAATTAAACGATGAAGACAAAAATATTATATAATTTTGAATATTTAATAAATATTTTTAATTTTATAACATTAATTTATATTTTATTAAATATATTATGTAGGTATCTTAAAAGCAAGATTTTAATTTCATTTCAGTAAAATTTAATTATTTTTTATTATTTTTTTGATTTAACTTTAAATGAAATTTCGTATATTTTGATATTTAATAAAATAAATTTTTAAATTTTAATAAATAAATTTTTGTTGTTGTATTTCACTACTGTTCGAAAAAACCTCTTTATAAATATTTTTTTAATTTGTACTTTATTAAATATATAACTATGTTAAATGCATGAAAGCAAAATTTGAAATCTCATTAAAATCAAATTTTAAGTGCATTTAATTGCATTAAAATTGAATTTTTTCTCATTTTATGTTCAATTTCAAATTAGAAATTTTACAAATAAATATTTTATTTATTTATATTCGTATTTTATTAGATAAATATGTACCTCTAGCTCATTATATGATATTAAATTCACCATAAGTTTTAAATTTTAATAAAGTTTAAAGTTAGAGTAGTTTTCAGGTAAAATTTAAAATGCATCTAATCATTTTTTATAATTTATTTAATTTTAAATAAAATTTTATATATTTTGAAAGTTTTATAATGCATTTAACACAAAAACTCTTTATTAAAAAAAGAGTTTATAATTAGGAAATAGATTTCTTTCGTGCTAACTGACTTTAAAATTAGATTAAATAATTTATCTATATTTCATATTTTATTAGGTTCTTCGAAAAGTAATTTCGTTTTTTCCAAAGCCGATATTAACCAAAAAATGGTGATGCTGTCTGTTTGGTGGGATTTTAAAGGAATCGTTTTTTGAGCTTTTACCGGATAACACTACGATTAATTCAGAAGTCTACTGTTATCAGAAATAATCAACAAAAAAACGAAATTACTTTCTGAACAATTTAATATATAATAATTATATAATATTTATGCATTATATTTATAAAATATTTATATATTATATATTTATATTTATTTATATTTCATTAGCCTATATGTAGGCTGTGTGCGAGTTCGAGTAAATTGAGGTAAACTAAATTGAAATTTCCTAAGGATTTTTTGCACTGCGCTTATGT